GCTGTTCATGAAAGAAGTCTGGACTGTTGCTGTATAAAGGTGCATTGATCCAGATGTACCAGGACCTCTGTTTTCAAATGGTATCCTGGCAGCATAATTTAAATCTGAGCACCACCGTCCTCGTGAAGAATAAAATAATATATAGCTGGGGGTATCCAGTATATTTGAGAGTTTTATATGCTGGAAAATACTGCAGAATAACATTGCTGGATCAAGGTTTAAATCTGCTCCATGAATGGGATTTGATGGATGACCGACAATGGGAACAAGAGATGACAAAATTGGAGAAGAAATAAGATCAGCCTACCATTTCAGAGGGAGAAATTCAAGAGGATCAAGAAGATGTTACTGGAAAGTCATTGGGTCAGTCTACAAGCCCAGGGGGAATTGTATCTGACTCTTAATTTTGGGAAGAAATTAAGAATATATAAATCATAGAATTATATAATCATTGAGTTGGAAGGGGCCTATAAGGACATCAAGTCCAATTCTGCACTTAATACTGAAATCCATATCAAAGCAGATCGGACAGAAAGTTGGCCAATTTTCTTATAAAGATATATATAATGTGTTTGTGAACTATTTAAAATTACTGTTCTCATTTAAAAAAATTATTTCAGACATAGAATAGGTAGTTAATAAGGTTGTAGGTTTTGAGAAATAGGGCTAATTTGGAGAGAGTTAAGGAGAAGATTTGAAATAGATGTAGTATGACAATTAGGGTGAATGGTTTTATAAATTATTAATTATAATAAACACGATTGGGTTACTAACTTGAGGAACAGGTTGGAAGTAAATAAGTATAAACTAGTAAATCCAGAGGGGAAAGATAGTAAAATGGAAACAGATGAGGAAGAGATGTGAAATGGTAACATAAGAATTTTTTTAGGTTATAGAGTCTACCCGTAAGGGGGGAAATGTGAAATATAAGAGGAAGTTTTTAATTAATGAAGAGGATAAGAAGGTATAAGAGAAGAAGAATGGATTACAATTTTAGTAGTAAATTATCCTAAGAGAATGATTAAGCTTTTTTAGATAAAAAAATTAATCAATGAAGAGGATAAGAAGGTATATGAAAATTAGACTGAGTTATTATTTTAGTAGTAGATTATCCTAAGAGAATTATTAAATAAATATCAGCTTTTGATATTAGCTAGAATTTATAGACATGGGAAATGGGATTAATAGATTAAAACAAAGCATAGATAAGATGGTGATAAATAGACTGGATAGGAGGGGTTAGAATACAGATGTTTAGATAGGATGGGTTTGTTAAGTGAAAACTGTATATAGGGGATAGAAACTATAAGAATTAAATTTAGATATAAATGAAGCAGGTGTATGCCAAATAAAGGTTTCTTATTTGGTGGCTGCAGGCAGCTGCTGGCTTGAGGACAGTGTGTGGTTCCTCCCCCTACTGAGGACTTGGGATCAAACTACGACTGGCATTTTGTAACGCTAGTGGCTCAAGAGAGAAGCAATAATTATGTGTTGGGGTGGTGGGTTAGGGGGTGGTTGCTTAATTTGATTAGGAGTGGGGCAATGTTTATGAGTTTGTTAGGAGTATTTGTGGGGATTCTTACATGGGAGTGGAGAAATGATGATAAATATTGTTAAAAGTTTAATAATAGCAACTTTAAATGTACAAGGCCTGGGGAGTGTTATAAAAAGGAAAAGTACAGAGCTATTGGCTGTTGAGGGTTTTTCGGGCTCTTTAGCCGTGTTCTGAAGGTTGTTCCTCCTAACATTTTGCCAGTCTCTGTGGCCGGCATCTTCAGAGGACAGCACTCCAGAGCAGTGGTCCTCAACCTTGGGCCTCCAGATGTTACTAAACTACAACTCCAAGAAGCCTTCACCATCACCTCTGCTGGCCAGGATTTCTGGGAATTGAAGTCCAAGAACATCTGGAGGCCCAAGGTTGGGGACCACTGCTCCAGAGGACAGCAGAGCACAGAGTGCTGTCCTCTGAAGATGCCGGCCACAGAGACTGGCAAAACGTTAGGAAGAACAACCTTCAGAACACGGCCAAAGAGCCCGAAAAACCCACAACAGCCATTAGATCCCGGCCGTGAAAGCCTTCGCAAATATACAGAGCAATTCTTTAATAAGGATAAAGATAATGTTTTTACATCAAACAAAGGAAGGTGTAAATGGATTTGAATGAGTTGGTCTGATATCTATGAAAAACTTTATAGAAATTCAAGATCAAGGGGGTTTGCAACCATTATCTCTAAGAAATATAAATTTAAATAAAATGAAAAAAGATAATAAAAGTAGATACAGTATGTAATATTACAAAGTGTAATGGGGGAAAGAATTTTAATCAATGTTTATTCTCTAAATGAAAATCTATTTATTTTTTAAGGAAGAAGGAATACGGATGGCATTTGTAAGAATGGCAAGGAAATTTAATATGGTAATGCATAAAGAAAAATTCTACTAAAGATGAGAAAAATAAGGTTATAGTTTTAAACAGAATGATGAGGAGAACTGATTTGAGAGATGTTTGGAGAATGATGGAAGGAGATGAAAAGACATGTAACTTCTATTCTTCAGTTCATAACAATTACCCTAGGATCGATTATATATTTGTATCTAAAATTTGATTTTGAGATGACTAATGCTGATGTGGGTATTATAAAAGTAACTGATCGTGATTTACTGAATATAGATATAGAAAGGCTAAAAGAGGGAAGATAAATGCAAGTATTTTTCAGCAAAAGAATATCATAGGTAAAATAGAAAAAAACAATAGAAATACTGTATGGGAAATCAATCATAGAGAGAGTTGCAGCAAGAGTATTATATGGGATATTGTAAAAGCACTAATCAGACAAATTGGTATAAGGGAATCATATAATCTAAAAATCCAATGAGAAAAATATGTGGAAAAGGTTGAGGAAGAAATAACATTGTTGGAGAGGAAATATATAATAGAGATTTTTAAAAATTATTAGAATTGCAAGCAAAAAGGAGAGAAGAGAGTACTGAAATGAGAAAAAGCCTGATAAATTTTATATATGTGAAAAGAGAAATTTCTGAATTTAGCAATAGAAAATCAGGAATGTTAGCTAGAGCCATTCAAGTTTTGAAAGCTAACAGCTTATCTGAAGTAGTTAAAAATGAACCAGGTAAACACTGTAATTTGATGAAGGAGAAACTGCAAGTCTTTCAAGATTTTTATCAAGAATTATATACTGAGGAGAAGTTTATAGAGTGTATACTGAGAAAAATTTAGGGAACAGACTTCAAGATATGGATAGAGATTTAATGTAGCAGTAAATTAGAGAAGAAGAAACAGAGGAAAATATTAATAAATTAAAAGTAGGAAAGATTCCAGGAAAGGATGGGTTGGGACTGGAGTATTATACAATTTGATCCCAGTGGGGTGTGGAGGATGATTTGTGTAAATTTTTGTTGCTATTAGATGTTTTAGTATTTATACATAATTTAAAAAAATTAAAAGGAAAAAATAAATACCTAGAGGTGGTGCAAGAGCAACAACAAAACATGCAAAACACAGAAGACTGAAATAATGACCAAAAAAAGAACAGAAAAATATACAGAGAAAAGAAAAGGAACTGATCAGAACAATCTCCTCACACTGACAGGTTCAGAAAATGCTGTTCACATTGTAGTGGTTGAAGAGTGGGAAAATGGAAACTAACCCAGGAGAATGCATGCATATTGGGGTGGGGCTTTCTGCAAAAAGCCTTTCAGCTCTAGAACATTTTGAATGGAGAACTATACAGGTGTGAAAACGAAATGTGTGACTCAGAGACTACAAAAAAAGAACTACTTATTAAAGTGAAGCTACACAGAGCAACATTTCAACTGAATTTTTTCTTTTACAATGGCTGAAATCCTGTTGCGTAAGGTACAATTAGAGTAGGCTCATCTGAATCAATGAAACCTATGTAGTTGGCTCACCAAATTCCCACTGATTCAATGGGCCTCCTCTAGAACAACTTACTCAGCAACTGTAATTTAGTGAAAGGATTTTTAGGAATGGACATTCAAAGTGAAGAGTGTAGTAACAGCAGAGAAAGTATATGCTTAACCCTTCCTCACCAGGTCATTTCCTCCTGAAACTCCCTCTTGTTTATAGATTTTAGTCTTTTAGTGCCTTTTTATTCTACTCAGGTGTTACTGAAAATCAAGTAATTATAAGAGAGGAGGGGCATAGCTCTGTCAGTTTGTGTTTATCAAACCTACTGCTACAGTTAGTATAGGGAATATATGGTTTACTGCAATGTACTATTAGCCAATGTGGGTTTTTATGGTGTCTGTTGTTGGTATTTTGTGGTCTCTGCTGGCCAATCCACCCTTCTAGAGCACTGGTTCTTAACCTTGGGTTACTCAGGAGTTTTGGACTGCAACTCCCAGAAGCCTTCACCACCAACTGTGCTGACTGGGGTTTCTGGGAGTTGCAGTTCAAAAACATCCGAGTAACAAAGGTTAAGAATCACTGTTCTAGTGCATGGTAATGAAGAAACAACTGCCTAGAAAGTTAACTACACCAATTTTGTCTCTCATTATCACCTTATCAGCATTTTTCATATTAGTCCCAAAGTGTATCTGCAACCTCGTCCAAACTATTAACATGACTGCTTTTAAACAGTAATCATAAACTTTGCATTTTATATCTGCTATCGGGCAAGGATCCCTTTGCACAGAAAACTCTTTGAAGTAAAAACTGCAGAGTCTGCAGACATGTCATAAGAGATGCATCAAAACATTTAAAAAAATTATTCTAAATACATTGGTAAGGAAGGGTTTCAAGCTTGGCTGCAGGAGAGATTTTTTTCTTCTTCTCCCTCTCCTAGTATAGAAAATGACTAGTCAGTGTATCCAACACTAAATTTCTTTAAGAAATAGTGACCTCCTTGGTCTGCCCTATGGCTTGCGTGGCATGGGTGCTCAATCAAAAGCTTAGGGAGTTGGCAGTTATGGGGAGGCTGGGGGAGTGTTAGGCTTCTATCCTTTCAGCATATCCTTACTCAGTTTTTCCAAAGCTTTTTGCTTTGTCACTTCCTGGTGCGTGTTCCACAATTCTACTCAAGATGCAATGCAAACAGGAGAGAAAGACAAAAAAAGTGTCAGATGCTGATCAGAGGTGGAAATGAAAAACAAACCAAAAAAATAAGCTACCCAATCTTGCACTGCCATAGCAGAGATTAATGAAAACCATCATGTAAAGAATTAATGACTTCTTCAGTCACACCAAGGATAGAAACGCGCAGCTTCATTCACAAGATTTAAAGAAGAACCAATGTATACAAATAAGTAGCTGAAAAATGTAAACAATTATCTAGCTGAGAAACAGACACCCAGATGAGATTCACCTACCTGATCTCATCTGACTTGACAGAAGTGACAGATTAAAAAATGTATTCAGGGTCCTTAGACCAAACTTTTAAAACTACTTAATAATGCTACCACAAAAATATATAATGTCACACTTCTTTCTAGTACATTGCTTCCTCTCTCTTCCCCAATATTTTCAATTCAAAACCTAAGACACATTTTTAACAACTCTAAAGGAATCCTTAAATGTAAACCATTTATTTCTGGACCAATGCCTTACATAGCCACTGCTCTTTATTTACACTGCTCTCCTAGCTTTCGGTGGTGTTGAATATATCCATCTCTGAGTCCTTTTACGACAATAAATAAATATATATTTTTTAAAAAACAGAGATATGCTATTCTGTTCTAATGCTGCCTACAAAACCATCAATAAGTTTACAGTGCTCTTCCTGCAATGATGGAGAGGATTTTCCAAGATAAAGCTCTCTACTTGAGACAAAGTTTGTTGAGAATCTAAACATTCTGGGAGAAAAAAAAGGCTAGCCACTCAGCAAACCCACAAGGCACGTCAGATTTTTAAGATGTTTTCCTTCTTCTACCAGAAAACTTGTATGTTCTTCCAGGTGCTGGCCTAGTGGCCCAGTGGCAGAATTTCAAATAATCTTGCTGGAAATCTCAGTATGAACTGCGCAGTTCATTTCTCCTCCTCACTGAGGAAGGCAGAAGTTGCGGGTGCTATAAGATAGGTTTCAAAAGGAAGATGAAGTGTGGTGTTCAGAATCACTTTGTAATATTCTGCAATGGAGGCAGAGCATGGAAAAGCACAGATAGAAATGGGACAGGAAATTGATTCAGAACTTGCTGGAGGAATAAGAGGCTGGGGTTTCTGCAATGCCATAATGAGGAAAGAAAGCTAATTATAACATATCTGAAAACAATTTATTTTTTCCCATTTTGTATTACCTGGAAGAACAATAAATACTGGGAAAGGCATGGTGGACATTTGCTAGCTATACTGAATTTCCTAACTTTAACAGCAGCAAGATTAATTGGAATGTGTTTTCTCAATAGCAATAACCATGAATGTTCAGACCCACAAATAAGATCCCTCGGGGGACGGGGATGCTAATCATAAAATGGCTGTACTCTCCCCATTCCCAACAGAATTCTAATTGCTGCTATACAGATATGCAGTCTGGCTGATTGTTCAACTTCTGCAATGCTACAGCCTTGGATGCCCCATGGCTCTCCACCTATTGACTAACAATGCCACATAATAAACCGGCATGCTGATGATTAGCATAAACTTTTAAAATGGAACTCATCTCAAACCATGGCCAATGTCTGGTGTGTGTGCAGAGAATAATGTTTCAGAAATTAATCTGACAAGTTAGGTGTGCAGTGAGTGCTCTTTTCATCTCTAAATAACCTCATAACATTAGACAATTTCCCTCCTTTATCCCCACATCTGGATGACAATTTCTTCTACAAACCTCTAAAACGGTGTCCAACCTTGGCCCTCCAGATGACTACAGCTCCCAGAAGCCTTCACCACCACCTCTGCTGGCTAGGATTTCTGGCAGTTGAAGTCGAAGAACATCTGGAGGGCCAAGGTTGGACACCACTGCTCTAAAACATTGTTTTCTTCTAGCCCTTGAATGACTAGGAACACTCAGACTCCAGTCCATCAAGTTCAAATAATGGAACTTGTGCACAGAGGATAATTTAAAATTTTTCTTTTAATTGACACATTTAAACTATTTCTCCCCTGCTAATGCAATAACTCTAGCCCTTGCAAAACTAGGTATTAACCAGATCCAACATTGGTTATGTCAATACAAGTGTCTAGATTTTTTTTTCATAACTAGTTAGTTGTGTCTTGTCAAATGGGAACCAACTTATAGTGATCCTAACAGAGCCTTCAAGGTAAGTGAAATATTTAAGGAGTGGTTTTACCAGTTCTATTCCCACAGTGAGTTTCTTTGGCTAAATGGGGATTTGAACCCTGGTCTCCAGATTCCTAGTCCATCACTCTGTCCACTCCACCAAACTGGGCACTTATTTTTTTTCTTAGAAACTTACAATATGTAGGAAAACATAGCTATGCTTCCAATATTCATTCTAATAGATTTTTCTGAAAAAGGAAAAATAAATTATCTATGGCGAAGCAATAATTTGTGCAGGTTTGTTGGCTAATGTTTAAGATATATAAACAGAATTGCAGTCCTACACATAACTACTTGGGAGTATATTGCAAGAACTCTGTGCGGTTACAAAAAAACTTCAACAGTAATTTGATTTTGTGATCAACCTCTATGCAAGTACTCACAAAAAGTGTGAATAAATAATTCAGGCTATTACAGCCTGAATTATTTATTAGCTCAATTTGTAGTAATCCTTATTGAATTAGACAGTAATTAAAGTTCAGTGTGTCAGCATAATATGACAGTCTTTATCAGTATGATCATATATTTAAAAGATAGTATTGTAACATACATCTACCTAACCCTTCTCCAGGATGTGAAACAAGCATATGTAACTAGTCTTTGTAGCCTTCGTGATAATGAAGCGCATTGCTGTAGCAATGAAGGGGGAAATGTTTCAGTGGGAAGGATGCAAATAGATTCTAATGCCAGTGCACAACCACTTTCCTGCATTCCACATAAATATAAATACACACCAATAGAAGCTACAAAATTTTCCTCTTTTAGACTCCTTGTGTCAAACTCCCTGGGCCCTTTCCCTGCAGGGTTTGGGGCCCGTGGCATGAGCTGGGGTACTGGCAGGTGCACCTTGGGCTTCGATTCCACCCTCATGGCTAAAATAGGGTCCTTGCCAACCGGAGTGATTGCTCCATCTGTTGGGCTTCTTTTTCTTTTTTCTGGCTCTTTAAAGGAAAGGAGGAGAGAGAGAAGTAAGCATCCAAAAAAGAGAAAGGGGAAAAAAACTACACAGACATACTACAGTCAGTAAGAAAAGGGAAACAGGACATCGGGCAGATGCAAAGAAAAAAAAGATTGGACAGATACTGTTAGTCATTTGTGTATATAATTAAAAAAAGTTTAGGTCTCATCATCAATTTGAGAACAGTACAGAGGCAGGATCTAAGGGGAAATACCAACTCATGGACCTCCAGACATTGCTGTGAGTGCAAATCCTGCCACTCCTCATCAACAACTATTCTGTGTCAGCAAATGGAAGGGTCAACCTAACAACATTTGAAAGGCCACAAACTGTTCACTCTTGGTCTCAGGACATGGCATCAACTCAACTCATGACCACCGCCTCCAAAACAAAAATGCCTAGGTACTAAGATCAGTCTCAAAATCATTTCCAAGGCCCTTCCCATCCGAGGTGAAAGGAACAATGATCCATGATAAGGCCTTTCTGTCTATGTCACTCCAGTTTCCGGAAGGGCTGCCAGGTACCAAGCTTGATATATTTTCAACAGCAGGGAACGGCCTTTTGCAATTGGCTTTCATCTATCACATTTACTTTCTAGAGCTTTGGCTTTCAATAGCCAAAATCCTATTCTCTAAATTACACATGTTCAAAGAGAATAGTGTCACTGGCAGAGGGAGGTTTTCTGTAATTAAAGAGTTCCTACTTCTATCCTACAACTTATCTTGCTCACCTGTAATCAGTCTCATAGCATACAAACTATGGGAGCTCTAGGATGGAAACAGGAATTCTTTTATTACTCAAAAATCTTCCAGTGATGTCACTATCCTTAATCAGCCATAATTCACAGAACAGGATATTGACCAATTTACGGTTCCATAATTTGACAACTCATTGTTTATGTATGGACCAATTTGTTCTTAAATTGTTATTGGTTTGTCTTAAAACTGGAATAGATTAAAAAGTAAAATAAGGGAAATTATTTTCTATTATTTTAGGAACTTTCGTCCCTAACAAAAGGGCCAAGAAAAAAACACTGATTGAACACTGATGATTTTATTTTCAAAGCACTAGACATACACAAAGACAGACAAAAATGTTTATATGAGAACTTGGGATTATCTCAAGGCAATTTAGTTGGTGGTATGTTCAGGGATGGACAGAAATAGTATTTCACATAATGCAGTTAGCTTCCACTGTCACTCTCTAAAATAGTTTTTTTAAAAGGAGTAAAAGGAATTCATTGATAGGTATTGACAGCTTGTAATCATGGTATCTAAATTCAGAATAATAAACCTCTGAATCTCAGGTGTTGGTAACATGTGGGAGTGTTGATGCATTCATTTGGTTTTGCAAAGTAGAGACAAATGGCTGGCCACCATTAAATACAAGATCCTGATCTATAGTAAATGGATACTTTTTGATCAAGCAAGGCATTTCTTGTGTTCTTTTATTCATTATCACAATGTGGCCCATTTCTTAATTTGATGCTAGAGCTGCTTTAGTATTTCAACCAAACATTTGATGCTTATGCAAACCCCACAAACAACAGACTTCCACAATTGTTGGAAAGCATATTAAGATGCAACAATTTATTTAAGACACAGTTTCTACGGATGTGTAAATGCTATAAATGGATGAGTACTCAAATAAAGCGTTGGTTGTTACAGTGTTATATCTATTTAGCACTGAGAAAAAAATGTAGCTCACTTTGCTTTGAAAAACTGTTTACAACAGACGTGGAGAACATCTGGGAGCATGTGTACATCACCCTGAACCCTGGGGAAGGTCAGTGTGAGTGGCTATGCTGAGATGGCACTGAGGATGAGACACCACACAGAGCTTTTCCACTGGGCACCTCAACCAGAAGCTCAGGTTTATTCCTTGCTCTCATTCCTTGCATTGGGAAGAAGAAAGTAGTAGTACCCTGTTTACCCGAAAATAAAACCTAACCTGAAAATAAGCCCTAGTATGATTTTTCAGGATGCTTGTAATATACCCCCAATATTTATTTATTTATTTATTTATTTATTTATTTATTTATTTATTTATTTATTTATTTATTTATTTATTTATTTCCTGCACATCCAGACCGAAGTCTACTGTGGGCGGCTAACAGTACAAATAATAACAATATAAAATAGCACAACAGCAATAATACAAGAGATGGCAATGGATAAATTAGGTATTGACAGAAGGGAAGGCCTCTATGTCATATGTGTTTATTAAGTAGTGCTTATGAGACACTCTTCCATTTTCTTCAATTTTAGGAAACTGTTAAAGGTTTTTTTTTAAAGTGTTGCTGCTTATTTTTTTAGGAGGCCGGATCTTCTTGTGTGTATATTTAAGAACAGAATGCTCATGTATCCTGTTTCCCCGAAAATAGAAAATGAAAATAGAATAAAATAAAAATTTTAAAACCCTGAAAATAAGCCCTAGTATGATTTGTCAGGATGCTTGTAATATAAGTCCTACCCCAAAAATAAGCCTGTTAAGTGAAACTCCTCCCTCCACCCTTGTGCAGCAACCAGAAGAGGATGACATGACTGTATTTGAATAAATGTAGATTATTGTACATGGGAAAAAAATAAAACATCACCTGAAAATGAGCCCTAATGCATTTTGGGGCAAAAATTAATATAAGACCCTGTCTTATTTTTGGGGAAACATGGTAGGGGTGTTCTCCTTACAAATGCTGACTCACAGCATAAACTTTTGCTGTACTTCCCTCTTCCTTGTGTGGACAACAAATAGGAATAAAGTGCTTTCAGTTAGTGCTTGCACATGCCAGGTAAAAGCAGCAGGTTTTGCAAGCTGCTCTTCCTTCTGGGAGGCAAAATGCACAGGATTATTAATAACAATCCTAACTGTTACTTGTTATCACTGATCAAAAGAACAGGGATTCCTCTCCACCCCCCTCCCTGTCCCCACAGGAGAGACTTCAGAAAGGTGGGGAAAAGATTTGGATGCAGTGTCCCTCTGAGCCAGTTTGGAGCCAGTTTTATGCAATCAACATATTTTTCATATTCTCTTACCTTTGTTGTAGTAGTGAGTATGAGCTATCTCCAGCAGGCCAAATACACTAGCCATGCCCCCAAGTCCTGCATTTGCATATGACTGTTCAAGGCTTGATACAGTGCATTTCAGCAAATCCAGCATCCCTTTATAGACCTTGCGGTTTATCTCCTGGAATGAAAGGAACCACAAGGGTAAGGATATTTCATTAATTAGAAGCCTATTCCAGATTAATAATTTCCCTCTCAAAAATCCATTCATTCTATTCTAGCTATTTTTCTGTAATTTGACCATGTTTTCTGTAACTTGGCGAAAAAAGGAAACTGCCCTGTTCTAAGGCATACTACTGTTCCATTAAATTCAGTACTCTCTATAGCAAGGCAGATAGTTTCAGTGGGTCTGAGGATCAAATTACTGCCACAGGCCTTGGTTGGCTGGCTGGCTGGTGACTTGGTTCCTTCCTACCTACCTACCAATCAGAGCACTGCCCTCTAAGAGTACTCTTGGATCTACTGGTCCTCCCAGATGCAGGGGGCCAGAGTACCTTTTACCATTTACATCTTGTATTCTAGTTGCACCATTATCTCAAAAAATCAGACTTGGATTCAATCATTCCTGTCTGAACTTATAAAAGTAATTTTACTTTAAGCCAACTTGGGACCATTTGCTATAGAAATACACTACAAAAATCATAGGGAAAAAGGCAGACAGAAAAAAACTTACCACATCCTGAACCACATCCTGTCGCACATCCTCCTCTGACTGTATGGTGCGATTAAGTTTGCTTAATACAAATACACGGAGTTGTTCACTCTCTAGGAGACGACGGACTCTCTTCATGTGAAACCAACCAACTCCTTGCCCATCTAAGACATTGTGTACCACTTCTTTCAAGAACTGCTGATTTTCACTAAATGAAGCAAGTGCATTAGAGGAGAACTATTATCCACAAATTTTGGGAAACTTACTCCAGCTATTTAAGATGAAGAGGAGTTCTGGGGTTTTGCTCTCATTACGTTTCCTGGGATATTCTTAGACCGTATGCATAAGGACACAATACAAACTTCAGTTTGCCCTCCATAGTTCTCTATGTATGTATTTCAAGAAGACATTGAGCTCACATTCCTCTTTGTGTGCGAAATGTACTTTAGATATTTTCATCTGGTGTAGCAATTTTGCACTGGAACTGTATGTTAAGCAGCAGTAGGTGTTGTTATGTGCCATCAAGTTGCCTCTGACTTATGGAAACCCAGAATGAGCAATATCCAAGATGCCTTGTCCTCAAAAGCCCTGCTCAGCTCTTGCAAACTCAAGCCTGTGCCTTCCTTTAGAAAGCTGCCCCATCTGATATTAACACCAAACAGACCGGTAAACTGAAGACTACCTCTGCTCCCAACTTCTAGGTAATTTGACTTTAACTTGGCTTCATTTTGCTTTACTCAGTGAGTAGACCAAGTTTTATTCTCAACTCTCAGATGGAGGTTTGCCACAGATGTATATTAACCTTTTCCCTGGCCAAATAGGAACTTTGAGTTTCAATAAAAGCCAATGTGATGGGGGTAATGCAAATTATTTGGCAATCCTTTGTTTAAGAATTTAGGAGGTGAAATCCAACCAATGGCTAGCAGGAGTGGAGTCTGAAACCTCACCCCCCAATGTTGTTTGGAGTCATGGTTTTCAAATTCACCTTTGAGAACCACATGGGTAAAGACAACTGCCACAATTTTTTTTGAACTCTCATATATATGCACTGCCCATAATAATTTGGTGCACAGCTAAAAGAAGACAGATTTAAGTTGAAAGCTAGCTGTTTGTTTGGTTTTTAGTGGCCCAATAAATGTATCACTTGTTCATGCCTTTGAACCACTGGTAAAGAAGTGTGTTGTACATTTCACCTGGAATTACTGGTTCGTCCCTGTGGTGAAGGAGACTCCCTTTTCACTGTTGGGCTGTGTTTTATAACAGATGACTTCTGATCAACAAGTGCACGTCTGTTTCCTACATAAAGGAGAGGCAGAATAAGGGAACATTTACTGGAAGAGACATACAATTCCATGAGCAGCACCAATAAGACACACATCAGCTAACACTCTAATTAAAAGGACATACGAATAAACTTTAAAAGCAGCAGCATATTTGTATTATTGCATCATACATCGGCAGAAAACAGTAATGGGAATGAAGCAGAAACAAAAAAAGAAGATGGTAACAAGAGCAGAAGATGAGAAGCAGGAGAAGCTTTGCTGCTCTGCATGCATTTCTGCCACAAGAACCATCTTCTGTTTATACATCATATGGGAAAGCATAACATGTAATGGAAGTGTGACCAGAAGAAATCATACGGTATTGGTTACCAGTGGAAAAACTGCCCAGGAGGCAGGCACAAGGATGCTTGCTGGGAGTTGGTATGTCATGCACAGCTCATGATGCAAGGAACCCACCTTCATTGCTTACTGGCCCAGCTTCAGTAATAATCTCCATTATAGTATTTAGCCCAAATACTGGGACACAAAATAAACAATTAGTAGTGTACGGCAAAATCACCACCATTTCTATATTTAATTAGCTAGTTAATTAATCCCTTCCCTCTAAAAATCAGTCCTGGCTTAAAGGAGGGAAATAAATATATTAGGCTAATCTAATTTCCTTTGTGGCTGGGCTAAGAGCTGTACAATAACCCAAGACGGAGAAGAAGCAGTAAGTCAACAAAGAGGTAGCTTCCAGTGGGATAGGGTGGAGCTTCACTGTAACTCCTGTTTTTCATAGGCCTACCTGGCCAGATGCTGTATGTTCTTGATCTGTATATCATCAGTGATTAGCACAGTTATCAGCACTGCTCTTTGGACTTGATATTAACTGTACTAAACCAGAATGCAAAAAAAAAATTCTAATACTTTCTAGAAGCACACTTGTAAACAAACTGGTTGACATTCATAGTCTGAAAATAATAATCCTTAAACAGCATAGTTCTTTATGAGAGCTACAAATTTCTCAGTCCCACCCAGTCCTTGATTACCTGCCTCAGAACCATCAGTTGTAAGGATCTTTCAGAAACTTCATTACAATTAAAAGATTAGCAGCTCCGAGGTGGCCTGAATTGATATTAATGGTATTTTAATCATTATTATATATTTGTTACAATTATACTATGACCTTGAAGTGGCACACATGGTTCTCCCTCTTCCTGTATAATGTTCATAACAATCTCTTAGGTAAGTCAGGCAGGCAGGCCAAAGTCACTCACAGTATTTCATAGCTAAGTGAGGATTTGAATACAGCTCTCCTGAGTCATATTCTAACAGTCTAATCACTACATCACACTGGCTCAATTGCTACAATAAACCTCATCTGAATAATGTTTCTTGCATCCTTGGAATTAATACTTCTATTTTACATAGTCTTTGCAAAAAAGAAAAATCTATGTCCTTTTAGAACATGATGGAAAGTGAATTAAATTAAATCATAAGAAAAAATGGAAAAAGTAATGAAACAGTGACAAGCTTCTTGTATTATAATCGTCATGTACTATAAAATTAAAATACTAAGAATATCAATAGCTAACTTGTATTCAAAAATGTCTACCATCGCAACATCCTTGACAACTACCACGCTCTTCAATAGATATACCCAACAAGTTGGTTTGTTTGTAAATCTTTATCTATGAAAGAAACAGAACTACTAATAAAAGGACATTTTATTCTGATTTGGAAACCTGCAGAAGCCACATGGGAAAAAGTAATCAAGAAATGAGTATAAACTGCAGACAATGAAACACAAAGCGTGAAAAAGAAATAGAAACACCCATCACTGTTTTCTCCCAATGTCTGTTACCAATAATAGGTTTAGCTAACAGGATGATCTCTGCATAAATATAGGAATGTGATCAAATGGAAATATTTGATCATTGGTCCAGAGAGACCAATGTAGAGTCTTCATCAACTATTCACATTCCTCCTCTCTTTTTTTAAAAAAAAACATAAACACACACACCCAGGGGAAAAAATCATTCTATCCAAAGCAAAGTTCAATGCAGGAACACAAAACCAACTTTTGGCCTTTATTACTAAAAGGTCAAAGGTCAGCAAACATCATACCAACCTTCATCCACATCCCTTCCCACTTCCAGATTAAAGTAATCTTTACCGATGAAAATGGAGAGGGAGAAAAAATAAATAAATTGACTTGTTAAAAAGAAAAATATTTTTCTAATTATATATATGAATTGAAGAAATAAACAAAGCAGTCTTCTGGTTAAGCAAATGAAAGGTTCCAATGCAAAAACAAACAATGGTACAGCAGTTTCCTTCAGCAGTAACATTCTCTAAAACCAACTGTACTACTGGTAACCTAGTGCAATGGTAATTTCTGTAACCTCTCCTGCATAGTCACTAATGTAAAAAAAAAATCTCACTTGACTAATTCTATTGCCCCGGGGTAAAGGAAACTTTTCAAGTTAATTTCTCTATCTGGCAAAGACACAAAATACCCTCTCCAACAAAAGCACTCTGTGGACTTAATCTTTATGAGTTCTGTATTAGCAGACCTTCCCAACTGCAGACAACGTCTGTGTGCCAGGTTGCATGTACCTGGATGTTGAATACTATGCTTATTATACAGATCAGCCATTATCAACCTTTTTTGTCACAGTCATAAACTCAATATGAAACAAATATAGGCTGAATCAAGATTCTATAAGTTGTATAATGAACCGGATATGATGGTGTGTGAAGAACTGTTTCCAGTCTGTGCCCCCCTTCAAATGAAAATGGCTGATAGAGGACACTGCCAGTAAAGGAACTCCTCAGAAACTTCCGCATGGAGTTATAAAGCTTAAATTTGTCTACAGCATTAAGAATTTGCATCCTTTTTATAGGTCAAGAATCTCCTTCTACAAAAGTGTATTTCTTAGAGCAAATCATTACTGATAGGGAAAGTATTTTTCCCCTTCAACACACTAATAGTGACTAACAGTGACTTCTGAAAAATCTGTTAAAGAAATGCAAAGCATTGGCCACAAGCAGTCTCTCTTTCTAAAGAGCATTGTTTCCCCAAATGTCGTCTTTGGGGTGATTCTGTGACTGCTTGGCAATCAAAAGGATTCTGAAAGCAGTAACAGACAAGGAAAAATTATTACCTTTCAGGCTGGGAAATGGAGTGTTTTTGTCTCTCCCAGCTTTGGTTGGAAGTGCTAAATTAGACAGACTAAAGCTTGTGCTGTGGTTCTTGTATAGGCTACCTATAACAGAAAGAAAATTTATCAAGTAATCCAATAATCCCCTTAACCTCATTCAGTAATCTACTCTCCTATTTACATCTGAACAGGACCAAATCAGACATGACTTTAAATGTGTCATTAGATTTGAAGAGCAAATTATTAAGAATACACTCATCAAATAGGGCTGGATGGGAAGCATCATTGGAGGGTTTTCACATAAAGCAAGCACCATAATCAGAAAAGAGATTTCTGCTTTCTTGCTTTTTCACCTCATATTTTTATTTAATAAAATAAGTACATTGACTTCATTTAAAATATTTATATCCTACCATTTCGTCTAATTTTTGAGATATCCAAGGTAGATAACAATTACAACTCGTGAAATGTCATATAATAAATTAATAAAGCAGCAGAGCAGATAAAATTCATCTTTAGCAAAGCCAAACCATAAATGAATCAAGGAGATGGTGATGTCATATACCTGCTGAAAGAAAAAAGATTTTTCCCTAATGTCTAAAAAAATCATTACATATCTAGAGTGAGATGGCTCTTCCATGATATTTTAGCATGAATACTTTAATAAAAAGGGCCTTCTCTTTTGTCTCTAGCACTTGCACTCTCCAGCAGCAATGAGAGAAGAAGCCATACCTCAACTGATAAACTGAATGAATCATCTGGGAATAGATAGCCCTTTAAGCACCTGACCTCAAGCAGCTGAAAAATGTAAAGACAATAACCAGCTATCAATTAGACCTGGAAACAGACAAAACGCCAATGTAGCTGGTTCCATGATGGAGTTACATACTGTATTCCAAAAGAAGTTGACTCCTTACTAAATTTGGGCTGCTGTGTTATGCACTAGCTGAAGATTCCAAACACATTTCAAAGGAAGCTGTACATATAGCTTATTAAAATAGTCCAACCTTGATGTGACACAATCAAACTAGACATTAAGGGGAATGTTTATGCCCGCTAATTAAGCCTTTTCTCCTCCAGCAATGAGATTTCCTCAGAGATGCATGCCTCAACCTAATGCAAACTAAGCCCCATTTCCCTTCCAATGATCAATCAAAAAACAAAGCACATTAAATGCAAGATATGAAGATGAAGAAAATGACATGCTATGGCATCCTTTATAGCTTCAGAGAGGATCTCTTTTTAAAATGTATGGAGTATGTTGCCTAGTTTGATCCATAAGTACATGTGGGTTTGTCCAAAATCTGCCTTCTCTAGGAAGAGTAATAGTTAATGTACCAATTTCTGCTGTACAAAAGAAATTCTAGTCACAGCTATCACTTGTACATCTAGGAGCAATCCTAGATCCAATAACACTTTGAAACCTCATATTTAATTTTCGTGGCTAAGCAAGATAAGCAAGGTGAGTTTCAAGTGCATTAAACACACATAGTATAAGAAGAGCAAGTCAACAGCACTTCCTATTTCCTAGCATACTATGTTAACAATTCTGTAGTTTGTGCAGCCATTCACAATAGTACAATAATTTTTCCACCAAGACCTCCTTATTCTTCCCTTGTCAAATTCCTGGGCTAATTTACCATTTCAATAGAGGAAAAAGACTCGTGACAATATGTCTCAAATGCCCTGCTATTAGAACTGTTTGCTTGAGAAATGTAGTCCATACAGATCACTGAATGTATGTATTTAATGTAATTATATTCTACCTTGCTATCTAATGGTTCTACAAAGTTACAGAAAATCATACAAAATAGATACAATTAATAAAAATAATAACATTTAAAATAAAATTCTTAAAAGCAATACAGAAAAAATCAGGAACTAATGCCCCAAAGGCTACACACAATAAAAAGTCAATCCATTTTTTAAAAAAATCAAAAAGAAAGGTAACAACACAAATCTAGTAATAATCATGTAATAAAAATGGTGCCACAATATAAAACACACTGCTCCTTGTGCATATGAAAATCATCCCAGCCAGAGAAAACATGGAAGAGCACCTAATGAGATTCTTCCTCTGTCATCCTGGTCCTGAGGAATGTTGAGCTTAAAACTTTATTATTACTAATACTAACAGAAAGCTTTTGTAGTGTCATTTAAAAAAATCTTTTTAACAATAGGTTTCCCTATAATCTCATCACAAGCTTTCCAGCAAGCCATAGTTGGCCCCCTATAAGCAAAATGTAACTGTTCAGTGCCATAGAGCAGTAGTCCCCAACCTTGGCCCTCCAGATGTTCTTAGACTTCAACTCCCAGAAATCCTGGCCAGAAGAGGTGGTGGTGAAGGATTCTGGGAGTTGTAGTTCAAGAACATCTGAAGGCCTAAGGTTGGGGATCACTGCCATAGAGAATATATTATTAGTACTCAGTAAACCAGTGCCCCTTTGCTTTCGCACAGTTTTTCTTTTAGGCGCATCTGGTTTCTTGAGCAGCTCTTGGCACCATGCATACCCTCCCCTTTCAATTTTGCCTGTTCAGCTGCCTGTCCTGGTCTCCAGATCCCATTTCCACTATGTACTTCCCAAGGTTTACATTTCCCCTCTGCAAAGTGAAGAAACTAGCTGTTCTCCTGCTGAGACAATAAAGGCTAGAGCCAGAGGGTGAATGCCATGATATAAACATCAGTCTGACCAGTGACCTTTAGAATTTTGAGATATGAGGTGTCAAATGTTTCTTTGTCTGGATCCCCCACCACCATCATAAGTCTCTTTTCCACCTACTGTTTAAGTCAGGATGTAATAAATTATTATACATACTGGCAAATGACATAATGCCCCCAAAACCTTCACTGCTGTTGTTAGAGATCGTAGAATTTGGGGAACTTGCATGGGAATCCGATTCCACATCAGAGTCATTTCCAAGCTTTAGACTGTTGGGACGCAGGGGCTTCGAGGGCCTTTAAAAACAAGACAAAGATATTACAATATTGACATAATTCTGTATCAAGAAACTACAAGGATAATTGTGGATCATCTCATATTGGTAATGGCCATGTCTGTGTCGGGCCACAGAATGGTTCAGGAGGGTGATACATCAGTCAAAAATTTTATGTTAGATTAGTGGGAGGACCAAGTAGGAGAACCAAGGCAAAGTGCTTTCAGTTCTAAATATTAGTTGGCAGTCTGAAGAATAACATCCTCAAGAACATCTTTCTGGTCCTCTTCCTCAATAAAGGGAATAAAGGACCACTTCACATATAGTAATGTGACATGATTCCATTCTATTGTGATAAGCAGTCTTGGCATCTCTTGTGAAGTTACTTTTAAGAATAATAAATGTAATGACATGCTGAAGTCGAAGCATCACCCTACCACTATTTAGTTACGGAAGCTTCAGCAAGCTCTCCCATACGTTCCTCATAAAAACAACTTTCTAAGCTCTGCATTATGAACACCAAAACCATGAAAGTGCTGGCCAACTGCATGTATTTTTTACATTCAACTGTTACTTTCCTTCCCAACTGGCTAGTTTTCATGTGAGGAAGACTCACATGGTTGCTTTCTTTATGTGTACCACTGACTGATGGAGGATGGGATCAAAGCTATCTAAACTGCAAAACGTTTTTTTTGGAGGAAATGGATAATTCTAAGCACAAAGCACCAGGTTCAGTAATACTCTGGCATGGCCTTATAGTCTTGTTCAGAGATCTCTTACCGGCTGCCACTGAGGTTCTGATTGAACTTTGGTGTATAACTTTCTTCCTGTTCATCCTCCTCTTCCTCTGCTGGAAACCCATACTGCGGTTCAAAGTATGGGTTATCATACTCTCGCTTCTTCATCATTCCTTCACTGCAGTTCAAACTGTTTGAAGGACTCTCACATTCACGACGATCCAAACTCATCTTTGGAAAGTTTGGTTGTAAAGGCAAAGCGGGCAGGTGATTTGAAAATCCAGCTACCATCTTCTCTTCCATCTCTGCTGAGTCAGCTGATTCCTGTAAAATAAAAAGAAATGAACAGTTTACAAATGCATGTTCTTGCAGTACCTGATGATTGATCAGCCGAAGGGAATCTTAAAATTTTAAAGTCAAATTATTCTAATTTTTCCCAACACTCTTTTGTTAAATTTGGTTCAATGCACAGAAAATTATTCAGAATCAGCTCTCTGAAATATTGTTCCCCAGTCTAATAGTTAACTGATAAGTTTATCTGCTTTGTTATATCAAGTCCTTCCTTTAAAAATAAACTTTGATAGTACTATATGCTAACTCATTTCCTAACATTTCTAACAAAAATTCACCATCATGATTACTCATCACTAGTCCGATGAGTTCCATTAAGGAACTTATAAGCACTTATTTGATGGGGAGAAAATCATCTTTCTACCTATATCCTTGTGTACACAGAGTCTCCACATCTTTCTCACAGTACTTATATTCACAAGTCCTCATTTAAATCATAATCTCAATCATAATCTGTCTATACAATTCTCCTTCTCTGTTCTCTGCTTTGCTTTCTTGATCTTGTTAGTCAGGCAAATACGTGAATGTGGGAAAATCCAGGGATTTTAGTTAGAAAAACATAAACTATATGATAGATGTTTACCATAGCTACATCTTTTATTACTCTTTTATTACCTAATCTCTTAGTATATGTCCAAACCTGCTTTTTTCTGTACTTATTTCATAGTTTATGTACACCACTTTCCCTTCTAAGATGAAGAGCTGAAAGCTAACAACGCCTTTCTAACCTAAAGCTGCTTAAATTTAAACTTCACTCTAATCACAGACTGAAGAGAGGTGGTAGATTTCACAGTGGGACAAACAATGAAGAGATGATGCTCTAAGCAAACCCTGATGGTGATGAATGTCAACCTAGCAGAAATCCCATTATCCTCTACTCTTGCTTCTCTAAAGTCCCAGTGTTTGAACTTTTTTGTACGATAGCCCCATTACACACATGATTCACCCCATGGATGACAGTGCTGGGGCTACTACTAGCTGTAGTGCTTGAACTTGATCGAGGCTGGTTGTTGTCTTGGGAATTCTCACTGTCCAGGGCCTGTTCATCCATATCACCCGAATACCCCTGGATGTCATCAAATTCCACTTCACTAGCATCACCCAAAGCTGCATGAGTTAGTGGATCCACATCTGTAAAGAGATATCAGAATACATACACTGGTTCAGTTCATAGGAGCTACATAAATCATTCTGGACTGTCTGGATGCACTGTGTTATGAGAGCACGGGGGGGGTCTAATCTCACCTGGTAAATTATTCTCAGAAGGTGCTGCTGAGAGATTTCCTCCCAATTCTGACCCACTCACCCATTCTGTTAGTACTATTTACAGTCAATGTAATATTGTTACGGGATGTGAGGATATTAAGCTGAAATGTGGACAACTTTACATGATTACCTCCCACTAATTCCAGAGAGGATTTGCAACCCCTGAACACAAGCTTGGTGAGAGTTGTGGGGTGCAGATGGTAAACTGGCACAAGATTAATCAAGATGAAATAGAAGTACTGTGACTAAGCAGTAGTTAATCTGGACAGAGGTCACTGTTGGATAAGACTGCATTATTCCTCATGAACCAGGATCATGAGGGCATGTCTGCATTCAGCACTATCTGTGAAAGCACCAGTGGCAACAGAAAACCAGAGTGTCCTTTACCACTTTCAGCTGACACATCAACTGAAATTCTGCCAAGGGCAGAAATATCCAAGTATTTTTTACCTGCAACTTCCATTAGACCGAGCAAAGATATCTAGGTCCATTTTCCCTCATCTAGTTATGAGGGTAAATGGGCCTTTTCAGTGGTACTAAACGCTTAGAAGATATGGAACCCCCTATGAAAGACATATGGCTGGCCCTAGCTGTTGTAATCCTTAAAGGGGGGTGGGGGTGGGGGTTTAAAACTCAGACATATTTTTTTCCTGGCTATTTTTCATGCTGCTCTTTCCAATGGTATCTTTATATTTTTTTAAAAAAAAAATAATTTTAGGTTTTATTTTATTATCACTTTAGCATAACTGTCTTATTTACTTTGGGGGTGTTTTTTGTTTTGTTTTGTTATGTCTTTCTTCATTTCAAAGAATTTAGTGTGTTGGACCCACAATCTGCCAGCAGGTGGTGGAAAGGCTCAACTGACAGATGGTGCACCCATCAAGTTAGAGAGTGATGCACCCCAGCATACCCCATTTGATAGGGTCTTCTGTGTAGCATTTTCAGGGAACCAGAGGGACTGCCAAAAAAGGAAAATGAATAGTCCCCTTCTACCAACCTAGCTGCATTGTTTAAATTTGCTATATATATAAATGCATCTAATAAACAGATATATTTCAGCAACGTGGTGTAAACTGTTAAAACTAGAGCAATGTGAGTGTGGTTTGGTGGATAGTGTGACAGGCTATAACTCAGGAGACCCAGGTTCAAATCCCCACTAGGCCATGGAAACACACTGGGGGAGTGGAACTGGTAAAAATACTCCTTAAACATTTCACTTACCTGGAAAGCCCTGTTAAGGAAACTATAAGTCACTTCCAACTTGATGGCACAGAACAACAAGAAGAAGAACCTAAAGTCAACATACTATCCTAACTCAATAACTATTAACCCAAGTGATCAATCTGGCTTTCAGGGCAATTAAGACAGGCAGAGGCAGATTTCTGGAGCTAATGAAACTAAAGACTTAAATTTACTAACTTGGAGTATCACCATTGATGTCACATTTCATCATTTCACTAACAAAGTCACCGAGGGATGAATATGAAGAACTGGAGTCATCATAGTCCACACTGTCACTGCCACTGTCACAAATGAGAGAGTGAAACCATTATAAGTGACAGAAACAGCAAGACAAAAACACTGCAAGAAAAATAAGGAGAACAAATCGGTAATCAAATGAGAAACAGTCGTGTGGAATAACTCATCTATAACATATTATAGTAGTTTAGGCACTACAGTATTAAATGAATAACCTCTGCTCTAGCAGACTGTCATAATCCTTACCGAAGTATTAACTTGGACAAATAAGTTTGAAAAAGAAAAAAGTTACTGTTGGTTTAAACTGCACTAGAAACATTTTGACAGAATGAAGAAAACGGAAAAAAGAAAGACAGAAGCAAAGTAGGTTGTAGCAACAAAGACACCTGAGGTAGCCAGTCCAATTGGACCCTCCCCCCCGAACCAGGAGTCCACTATATAAATAATTTCAAAGGCTACTGAGAAAAAGCTCCATAAAGCAATAGTGCTCACTAACCTATCATCAGTAGGATCAGAATCTGTTTCTCTCTCTACTGGGACACTCAGTGCTTCAGCCAGCTGAGAATTGCTGTCATAGACACGGTAATGAATTGGTTGCAGTTGATGAGCATACCACTTTGGCTTGTCACCAATCAGAGCTGGGTCAAACATGTCTGCAGATGAAACAAGAAAAGGGCAATTTGAAAATACATTAAAACCATATGCAACAAATGGGATACCAATTTGGGATATAAATGGAGTCAAAGGTGACAGATTTACACGCTAAAAGCCAGGCAAAATACCAAAAAGATAACAATCCAGAGAAATGTTCTTGTTTCTTAGACTTTCTAAAGGAATCTTATTGGGAAGACAAATACTTATGAAAAACAAATGGAATGTAAGGAATACTAGGCAGTTAGTTTCCTGGCAATGCTTTTGTCTTAGAAGATTCAGCATTAGTCAGGAGGAAGTAGGAAAGAACAAGGGCATGACTTACTGTTGTGAATTCTCTGGAAAGCATAATTTGTGGGATTGAGTGACCATTCTCCAAAATATTCCACTGCCTGGGTCTTGGACAATTTTTCTGCAAAGGCTGTCTGCTTTGGTCGAGAGGCAAGGAAAGAATTGGCCTGAAATGCAACCACTGGCCGGGGAAAGAGGCGAAGTGTACGGGTATGCATCTGGAATCCTTGCAGAACATTTGGTGAATTGAAGAATCTCACCATGGCAACCCTAAAAAAAAAAAATAAAGATTGAGCATATAGCCAAAACTGCACAGAAAGGTAAGGGGCACAATATATTCATGGTGGAACAATGCCTCCTCTACACAACCGTATCGATTCCAGTCCCAAAGACATCACATGAAAACATTCTCTATGAAAACCAAGGTGACTACTGACCTGAAAGAAGAGAGTGGCCCACTTTTTAATGATGAAAAAAATGTATTTTGCAAACAGGTTCACTGCCTTTGTAGCAAGGCTCTGTAAAGCCTAGCATACAAGTGTAATCTTGAACTAACTTCTATCTTTCAGTTAATCTCTTGTGTACAAAGCATCAAGATTTCTAGAAAGCAGATGAATTTCAGAGGATCACCATACATAAAAAGGAAAAGACTGTGTAGAAACTATACATAGATGTTGTATTCATTCACGTTCATAAATTTCAGCATTATGGAAAATGTCAGCAGAAACTATTGTTAAAGATTGATAACAAACCCCAGATGTAGTGTTTAAGCATCTCTATGTATTAGCTAATTAAAAGCTTTGTTTTGCTTTTCATTTAAACATAACATAGCAACCTAGGAACATGCTTTCTACAAGCCAGATAATTGGTTTATTTTGGCCAGTATGATCAACACTCAATGGAAGAAGCTTATGAGGGTTTCAGGCAGGATTTTTCCCCTAGCTCTGTTAAGAGATGCCATGGATTAAATCTGGGTCCTTCTATGTGCAATGCATGTGTTATAATCTTTATTGCAGGACATAAAAACAGGCTTACCAGCATGTCTGGAAGTTTAGGAAAATGGCATTGCTTAGACTTACCTAGTGGCCACATCAACTGAATCTACATCATTGCCATAGATCAGGGGGTTGAATTCTGTAGACGGTGTGGACTGCAGGTCATTCTGAGGCCTTCCCATAAGTAGTGGCATCTCCTGACTTTCATGAAACTTCTCTAGGTTAAGAATAGGCTGGGTATTCAAACTCATGCTGGCCAGAGCCTAAGAGCAACAGGGCACAAGCATAATAAACAAAAGTGGCATTTTCAATTCTGCCTTAAGCCATGGTACAAACTAAGAATAATTTATTGAAATCAGCTGACACTACTTTCAGTTCTTAGATGAATTAAGAACAAACTTAGTTATGCTTTTGGTCTTTCATCTGAGAGATTGCTCCATCATTTCTAATAAATAAGTAAACTGCTCAAGAAAAAAAAGTTACATAAATTGCTGGCGTGCTTTTTTAAAAAGCAAACAAAAAAGATTCAAAAAAATATTCAAAAGGTCATTTTGAAGCAGATTAGAAATCCTTTAGCAGTCTCTGACTGTCCTTTTGACTTTTAAGAGCAGTTACAGCAAAAAAAAGGCACAACCTGAATTGTCATTTTAGAAAAAAGAATTAGAGGATTGTGTGGTTATCTTACTGTGTAAGAATTTGTGAAAATATTCTATGGTTTGCAGTCTTGGAAAAGAAATGAAAAAGATTTTGTGAAAATATTCTATGGTTTGCAGTCTATGAAAAAGATTCATCATAGAATCATAGAATAATGGAGTTGGAAGGGGCCTTTAAGGCCAGCAAGTCCAACCTCCTGATTAATGTAGGAATAAAAAGCCTTTAAGGCCATCAAGTCCAACCCCCTGATTACTGTAGGAATAAAAAGCAAAGTATATTTGGCAGATGGTTGTCTATTTTTCTCTTGAATGCCTCCAGCGTTGGACACTCACCACTTCCTGAGGTAACTGGTTCCAGTGCCATATTCTCTAACAGATAGGACTTTTAAGGCCATCAAGTCCAACCCCCTGATTACTGTAGGAATAAAAAGCAAAGTATATTTGGCAGATGGTTGTCTATTTTTCTCTTGAATGCCTCCAGCGTTGGACACTCACCACTTCCTGAGGTAACTGGTTCCAGTGCCATATTCTCTAACAGATAGAACATTTTTTTCTGATATTCAACCCAAATCTGGTTCCTGTAACTTGAGGTCATTATTATGTGTCCTGGGATGTACATATTTTTTGTGTCTCCCTAAACATGCAATGGGCTATCAGGCACAGGGAAAAACCTTTCTTTGACTGGCTCAACTAAACAAATAGGGAACGGCTGACTAAGTGATCCCAACAATGCCCTTTGAAATATAAATATTCCTGTTCCCCATTAGCAATTTTAAGAATGAAAATATATACTTATTCTGCATTATATAACCAACAATAAAAGTGTGTAACTTTCGGAGCACTTTCTGAATGTCACAACTTTAGACATTTAAGGTTAGACTGTATATAACCTGAAGTTATCTATGAAAGGTGATACGGGCATTTAGCTTGCTGTTTGGTCCACTGCAGGGACAGGTTGGTTCATTCTTAAAGCTAGCAATCAGATGATGTGTTTTCTGCAATGAACCAGTCTGCCCCCAGAGATTTCCTACCCACAACTTTCTGGCCCATCAGGAGCTTCTACTGTTTTTGGTGTGGGTAGCATCACTCTGTTTTGGTTCATTCCCAGAGCATGTGATCACTGGAAATGAACCAAAACAAGCTGGCAAACAGAAGCTTCCTACTTCAATTTGCCACCTGGTTTTCAATTTCCCCATATCATTAGTGGTTTATACAGACAATTTAACCACTTAATGATATGGGGTAATTGGAAAATTAAGAACTTCCTCTCTCTGCTTATGAAGCAGAGCGAAGAAGCAGTTTTTTGAAGCTAACTAGGACAGTGCTGATGCACTGCATCTTTAAGAGAATTCTTTTTAAAACAAGACTTTCTTGTGGAGGCAGAAGGAGACAGGAGGAGACAAGGTGTTGGGTTGGTATTTATTTATTTGTTTGTTTGTTTGTTTGTTTGTTTGTTTGTTTGTTTGTTTATGGTCTTTTCTTCACAACTTCCCTGTTCATGACAAAGGAACTTGGCGTCCTGAACTGTAAAAAAAAGGGACAAAAATTCCTCAACTTGCCTCCTCCTGTCTCCTCTCACTTCCATGAGGAAGCTTCATTTTTAAAAAATCTGCTCTAAAAGGTAGAGTGGACCGAATAGGGTAATGATGCCATGTGGATGAAAAGATCACACTACATGATCTCCACCCATTCTTAAGCAACCCCTTTATCTTACACCAGCCCACTCCTGCTAAACTGGGTAGCCAACCTCTGTATTATATTTTAGCTACCAAGTTATTTTTCCGTCAAGCACTCTAATGGTGCTGTATGCAGCATCATGTTAGTTGTATTGTATGGTTAGTTCTCTAAATTTCCCACTTTGTGATTTTGTGGTGTTTAATTCTTTTTAATTATTCTTTTTAAATTACCACTGTTATTCTGGGATTTCAAACTCTATTGTAGCTCAATGAGAAGTAAATTTTTATAAAGTTTATCTTATTTAAAAATAAATTCACAGTATTATTAATGAGGTCATTATCTGCCCTATCTATCCCAAATTTGATTAATTTTTTAAAAAAGAAGATAAAAGATAAATATGTTCATTATGTCAGGTGGACAGGGAAACCCAGATTCTTCAGACAGTGCACTACGTTCAACAGCTATGCCAATATCAAATTTACAGTCTTCCAAAGTTTTCATTACATATTTTATTTATTTTATTTTATTTTAAATAAAATATCTATCGGGCTGGTATCATCACCCAAAATTAATAATTAAGGGGGGAGAACTTTGTTCTATAGTTTGGACACAATCTTGCTTCATTTTCAACTTCTTAAGAATTTAGCATTTACAAAAGCTTCAACAGTTTTCATTTTCCATGACGATCTTTATTATCTCTTATGGATGTCTTCAACTTAATTTCTCTTTCTTTCCAAATGTCAATAAATCAAAACAGATTTTAAAATGATTTTGTGGAATTTTGAGGGAGAAAAGAGTAAAATAAGAACACCTTTTTGTCAGGCGTGAGCAGCTGTTGCTGAGTGATTGCAGTCATGCTAACCAGACACTGGAGGGAAGATGGAAGATCACATGACAACACCAGCGGACAATCAGAGCCAAGACGAACACATGACCACAGAGAAACAGATGGAGAAAAAACTATTACTACTAATACCACAGATGAGAAAGGAAATTAAAAGGAATTATATATAAACACAGTTCCTGAAGGTGGCCAGGTTGTTTAACCCCACACATCTGAATAAAGACACCTTTTTAAAAATAAAAAATACCAGAGATTGTGACAGCTGTGAAAGGACAGTTTAAAAGTCCATAAATATTTAACAAACATTTAATGCATGCCTAATACTTTGTTGATAAAGTTTTTCCCTGTCATTACAGCTTTATCACATGACATTCACTTTCTTGATCTTGCAAACTTTCTTCTCTTTTTGGTTGGTACAGAATAGTATTTGTGTCTTGCAATGGATTAAACAATATAGTTTGGTCAGTTCTGCTCATTGCTCAGATGTGTGGGAGTTTTGCTGAATAGCCCCTTAAACTGTGAAGAAAGAAAAGCAAGCAAATTCTGAATGAGTAACTGTAAATGTTACTGGAGGGTCAGTGGCAGTTCACTACAGTAGTTTACACAGGGAATCACAGACTGTTAAACATACAATTCTGCTCTTCTATAGAAGACAGAAATAAGAGCCTTTGCATTGTTACTTTAACACTTTACCTTTAAATACTGCATGCAGCATGCACGGGGTGGAGGAGTGGAGAATAGAAATAAGGACATAAAACTTGTTCTTACAGACTGAGTCTATATGTCTCAAACTTATAAATAACTTTATAGGATGGGGGAATGAGAGGAGAGAAAGAGAAAAAGAATGTGGAGAGGAAAACTAGACAATATGAATTGAAAATGGAAATGGTAATCAAGTAGAAAACAACTCGAATGAAAATCCAGGGGTTCTAAAAGATACACCGGTATTATGCCTGGGAAAGTGTAAAGAGAATGAGCTTCATGCAGATACTAAAATCAATGACCAATTTTAGTGTCCGACTTTGTGTACATTTTGACATGCCAATGCTGCAGTTTACCAGGTCTTGAAATATTTTGAAATGAATGCTAAATATGGATACAGTAAACAGCATAATCTAGTTTGAAGCATAACACACGCTGACTAATAACTATACAGAAGTAACAATTCATTCAGTGCTCCAAGACGACATTAAAATGTTAATGTGAATTACCACATATAAATTTCAAGTGGTGGCAAAGAGATTAAATGCAATGTTTCACATTATTCAAATCAGGTAGTTCAGACATAGTGATGAACAATAGTTTAACACTACTGGAGTGAAACACCATTCATTCCTCAACCAGTAGGGTTGGTCTTACACAAAGGGGTTTTTTTTTTTTTTGCTTCAATTTTAGTTTAATTGCAGCTTTCCATAGGTGAGACAGGGTGATATCTAAAAATTACAAACAGAAGTTAACTTTACTGGTCTTCATCAAGCTCTACACTACAGAACTGGGAATGATGCAAGAAGAAAAATTTTCAAAAATCATGGCCACGTAGGCAATCCAATCTCTTCTGCTAAATTTAAGTTTCAAAATGGGGGTTACAGACTCAAGTCAGAGGTACAGTTTCAGATTTCACCTCTCATGGTGGTGACTGGAATGTCTTTGCAATATGGCTAGACAAAGAGCTGCTAACAAGTTCCACCCCATAAGGAAACAAGGATGCTTTTTTGCTGGGGATGGAGGAAGCTTGCCATGTAATCCAAATCTAGCCATGCTATGCTTGAACCATGATTACTTTTTAAATGCCAACTAGTAAACATAGTTTATGATGGTGGCTTGCTTCAACCAAACATTTTTAAGATTAAGCACAGTTTTGTCCCAGTCTTGAGGATAGCTAGACTGTGGGTAACCTAAAATTGAAGCATTAGAAACTGCTCTTCTTGAGGAAATGCCAGGGAGCAGAGGCTCTAAATCAGTGGAAAGGCTCATCTAATGCAGCATTGGAAATAAATCCACAAAAGATAATAGTTCACAAAATGTGTTACAAGTTTGCCTTCCCACAAACAGCTACTTCAAGTAGCTGTGGAAATAGGCATCCTGAAAAACAAGAAAATGCTCTTCCAGCTTAGAAGGATTATCTGAGGGCAACAGTTACTGCTAAATATGACTAAGCAATTAGAAAGTTATAAAGCTGAAGCACTCAACCTTATGTCCTGTACAAGTTCTTAGGTATTCTCACTTTAATAATCCATGTACCCCAAAGCCCCTTGTATGAATAAGTATTTTAGAAACATGACAGGTCTTGCACTTTCAAGCCCCTTGTATAAATCAGGTCTTACAATTGCAGACATTAAAACAAACAAATAAGAAACATTAAAAGAACAGTATGTAATATCACATTTTACTATATATGAAATTTACACAATGATTCGGAAACAAGAAGATAATATCCATTGTGTGACAACAGAAAGTAGGATGAGTGAATAAGATCATCACATAATTCCCTCGAGGGGGAATTCCATTTATTCAAGCAATATCTGAGCAGGGAACTCGTCTAGTATTTTTTTGTTTGTTAATTGCTTCCTCTGCTCCAAAGACAGCTCCAGAAGACCCATTTTTGAATTGATTGTTCATACAGAGCAGGGGGATACAGAATTTTCAATAGGAAGTCAGAACTCCCTGTGCTGAATGAAGTTGCAGTAAAGCATTGCTACCAACTGTCTGAAACAGCTGCCTTTAACTATGGCTTGTCACACTCTAGATACGTTTTCCTTGCAGACATTGGAAATGTCACATTTGCATTACAGGGTCCATCTGAAGTGTGGACTACTCATGGTTTGCTAACCCTTTGTGACACTGCATGCTGTCACATTCTCCAATTAGAACTAAACCATTAGATCTGAACACTCATGTACCTGTTTCAGGTGCTTCTTCAATTCTGATGCTTCAGGTTCTGGCAAAGCTGGCAGTAGTTCAGCATTTGTAGGAACAATCACCTGGAATTAAATTTAAAAAATAAAACAGCATCTACAAACACCTGAGGAATGGACTTCTTATATATGACTTCATGAAAACAAGGTAAGACAACAACAGAAAACGTAGGAAGCCTTTTAGTGGATCCAAATTTCTTTCTAACTGACTGTATATGATCAGGTAGGCTGCAAAAAAACCAACAACAACAGCGCTGTCAAGTAGATGATTTCCCCCCCCAAAAAACTGTCAATCAAAGTACTACAGAAGTAACTCACAGTTTCCTGCTATTTCTAGTTATCCCACCAAAGAGGCAAGAAAATCTGTTTTACTGATGTGGCCATGAGCAACAGTTAATAAATAAGAAAATAAACAATTTAATTTGGATATTATTTAATTTTAAAACATAGACTATAAAATTTTAAATAAAAAACATCATTTAGTCTTGAACATAAAAACAAACACACCAAAAGTTCTACATGAATATCCAAAATGAATTAAGGGAAATACAGGATTCCATTCTATTATAGTTGTATTTCAAGCTAAATATCACCGTTGTGGTGGTTTTGTATTTAATTCTTTCATTAATATTATATTTGTCCAGCATACATGGCTGCTGGAAAAGCATTCTTTAAATAACCAGTGACATAACCCTTTGAAGAGTTAAGCTGCCTTACTCCAGCAATATCAGCAGGCATTAAGTCAGTATGTAATGATCAGACTGCAGGGGTAATAAAACCAATAACCAGTATGCACTCTTGCTATGTTATTTCAAAAAAGGATGAAAGATTGGCTGAAAAATATGAGGAATAAAGAACAAATAAAATAAATATTAGAAATGGAGAGAATATACTGGTTCAATCTTATCTAATTAGATCAGTGGCCTAAAAATGCGTAAAAAAGAAATGGCAAATGTAGAGCTCTTACAAGATTTGAAGAAATAATATTACAGAAGGTAAAGATAAAGGAAAATAAGACAATGCAAGGGATAATAAGTAAACTTTACAAGATATTATTAGAAGCAGAGGACCAATAAGATCCAACATGATTTGGGAGAGGAAATAGATATGTGGAATAATATATGGGATAAAAGAAATCTCAAGCCGGGATCAAGATTGCCGGAAGGGAGGCGGGGCCAAGATGGATGGAGGTTGCAAATTGATAACTTTCTCTCAATTTTAATCGCTGATGGAAGTTCTGTAGGCTTGAGATAGCCTAATCAAATTTTCCAAGAGAAGAAAATTTACCCAAAGAAGAGAAGCGCCATCTGAGAAGGTGGGGGGAGCCTGGTGCTACCTCCCTATCCCAGAAGTTCAGCATTCTCTTTGGCAGGACTCCATACAGGTCTGAAAAATTGATGCAGTCCAGAAGGCTGGAGGAGAACATATACACAACTATATTCCAGATTTATAGACATCACCATAAGCAAATTTATTTTCATTTCCACATTTGAGCTGAACACTTGGAAATCTGTTGTGATATATGAAGATAGGTGGGAGTAGTAGGCTGTAAGACTGAACACTGAAAGCATTCAGAAGCGAACAGCACAAGAGGACAGGAGGGAACACAGAAGTTCATTAAAAGAGACTTTTAGCCTGATGAATTGCTGAACTATATGTCTGCAAAGTTCCCCCTTAGAAACCTGCTGGATATTATTGAATGTTATTGAACAGTCTCAATACTAATCATTTAGATTGTGCCTACACCCACCTGAAGTTTATTTATGCATGAAGAAACCAATATGGCCAGTACAGAGATGAAAGCAGAAAACGGAGGCTGCTCATAAATGAAGCGACACCCATGTGGATTACAAAAGTGAATAGATTTGATTCTATTTTTCTTTCTTCTTGATTTTGTCTATTTTGTTGAGCGTGGTTGGGGGAGGAGTTGGAAAAGCAGTTTCTTGGGAGTTTATTATTTTAATTTTCGTGCTGTTCCTAAAACTCCGTGGAGATGCTAGAAGAGACAAGGAGCTTCTCTTCCACTTTATCTCACCTTATCTTTTTCTACTCAAAGTCTGGAAAGGTGCCCAAAACTCTGAGCAACCTGACTTGTATCTCTTTCTTTTTTTTCTTTGTCAAATCTAGACATAAATAACTTCCTTGAAGCTGAATAATATTTACTATACTTACTATATTCAGGAAATATTCTCCCTGATTGGGAGTGGTCAAGGAAAGTTTCCCCTCTTCATTAATAACATTGACTCTTTTTTTATTCAGTGTATATTGGGCGATCCCCATTTGTTAGTTGCTTGATCTCTGTTTGTTGGTTGCTCTCATATCCTTCCATATTTCCATATCCCTAACGTACTAGATTACTTAAGTCTATATAAAAAGGGAGAGGGGGAAAAGCAGATACCAGTGGAGAATACTATAGAACTGAGGGTTTTTTCCTTTCTTTTTGGAAATACAAAAACGGCTGCAAAACCCAAGGTGGGAAAAGGAAGTCTGGCACCAGAAACTACACCACTGAGATTGATGCAAGGAACTCAGTCTTCTTTATTAACAAAAGAATATTCTGAGAAGTTCATGAGCACCACGCTCAGCCAACAGACGGCCCATTTTGATAGAAAGTTTGATGAAATTAAGTCTGATACTTCAGCCCTGAAAACTAAAGTGTCTGATCTTTCCAAACAACAGGAGGACACAAATTTACAACTGGGGCAAATGAAAGAGGATGTGACACAGCAAAATCAAGAAATACAGAAGACAGCGAGATTAGCAAAGAAAATGGAGAAGACAGTATTAGAACTTCAGAAGCTTAG